TTTGTAGATAAGTTGTAATCCTTAAAAGAATTATGCGCGACTTCAAATTGGATGATATGGTGTCAATTGTCTCTGATGATGTTAGTTATTTATATTTGAATAAAACTAATATTCAAGGAAAGGTATGTTTTTCATGTATTTATATAAATTATATATTATTTAATTCATACATAAAATTATAATAAATATTTATAGGAGGCTTTCAAGAATCATATGAAACATCAATTTGAAGTCGCGCATAATTCTTTTAAGGATTACAACTTATCTACAAAAAAAATACTTGTTGAAGGTAATCAAGCTATGGTTAAATGGGAATGGATTTACAAACATAAGGGTATTGCGAAAAATTTGGGCAATTTAAGAATTGAAGGTAAAACAAATAAGACCAAATTTTTTTGTTTTATTTTTTTTTGCGATAGAATTTATTCTGATTGCTATTATTTAATAAAGGTGTTAGTGAATTTGAATTGAAAGGATTATTGATTAAATCCGTGAAAAGTTATGAAATTAAAGATTCAGATCATGCTGTTAATGGAAGTGGTGGGAGTAGATTATTTGGAAAGTTTGTAAGGAAACTTAAGCATATAGAGTCATCAACATAAATAATTAAATGAATGGCATTAAATTTAATAATTAGTAAATTTTTCATTTTCTTTCATTTTTATTAATTGCGGTTTAAATAATTTTATAATAACGATAAATTAATAATAATAATATAGAATGTTTGGATGTATTGTATATTTTAACACTATGCACTTGTGTCGATTAATTATATTTTTTGTAATGAAAATAAAATACTATATTATATTAATTAAAAATATTCTTGTTTTATTTCAAATTATTATTATTATTAAATGTATATATATTTTGTAAAAAAAGGTCAAATTATTGAAAAAAATAAATAATAATAATAATAATAATAATTCTAATAAAATTATTAATTAATTAATAAACCAATCCAAACATCAAATCCAACATTAAATATTCCAAATAAAAGAAAATCAAAAGACAAGTGCAGCACCTTTTGTCTATATAATAAATATTATTAATCAGGATAAAATTTATAATTAATAATTTTTATTGTTAAAAATTTTGTTTGAGCATTCGTTATAATTATTTATCATTACCTTTTTATCACCTCCAAGTTCAAAATGTTTACATCTTTTAAGCGCTATTTGATGTTTATACTAGTCATATATATTATTTATAGATAGATAAATAGATTTTTATTAATAATCAATTAAGATTAAGATCAATATGAAGGTGAAGATTATTATTGTTATTGTTATTTATCAATAAATTTATTACCTTACAACTTTGACATTCTAAACGAAGTACAATTTTCCTAGTTGTTTTAGCTAAAAAAAAGTAAAGTATATTATAAATAATTGATTCTATGTATAAATCGCTATTTATAATCTATCTATAACCTTTAAATATAAAACGCATATATATATATATATAATTATAAGTCCACCTTTCTTATGAAACACGGGTTTTGTTTGACCACCATAACCAGATTGTTTACGATCATAACGTCTTTTACCTAATCGAATAATCAAATAATTAAAATAATACCTATCCACCTAAAAAAAAGTATTGATTTTATCACATATAATATTATTAAAAACTATTCATTCATTACCTTGAGCATACAAAGAATCTTTGCCTTTTTTATATTGAGAAACTTTGTGTGGTGTATGTTTTCTACAATTTTTACCTTTACAATAGGTATTTCTTGTTTTCGGAACGTTAACCTATGTATATACAATTAAAATCCATATATAATACACATATATATTATTATTTATTATTATATTATAGGAAATTTTTTTTAACAAACCATTTTATAATTTCCTCTTTTTTTTTATCAAGATTTTTTTACTAAAAATTTTTTTGAGTGTAGTACCGATCTTCTTTAAATATTGTCGATCATATTACATATAATAAGTAAATAAAAATTTCGAAAAATTAAAATGGCATTAGAAGAAAATAATAATAATACTACAGGAAATTTCAAGCAAGTAAAATTTTTTTAATAAATATAAAATATACATGTATTTTTTAAAAACTTTTTTGTTTTTTTTTTTTTTAAAGTTATGAAACCAGACCACCACCGCCACTTAGACCAGTTAACGCAAACACTTTAACTGAAAAACAAGTTGTCATAGCTGAAGAATTTCCAATGCTATTGAACAAAAGGTGACATATCAATCAATGAAAAAAAATGGAATGAAAATAAAAATAGAGTTATTAATTATTATATTAACATTATAAAAAAAGTAAAGAGGAATTAGAAGATTTATTGAATAATGAAGTGGTTTTTGATTCATTTTTGGAAACTGTTGAACAAATACGTAATATGAAAGGATTGCAAAATGAAATGAGGATGGGAAATGAAACATTAGCAAGTAAGTTTCAAATTATTAATTATAACATTGGAAATTATATATTACAATTTAGTTAATAACAATCATTTAATAATAACTTAAAGAGAAAACACTAACACAAGAAGAAGATTTAAATCAACTTTATAAAAAAGTTCAAGATGAAGAAAATGAACTTAAAGAACTTTATGATGCTTATAAAGAAAAAATAAAGACACAACAAGAAGTTTTGCAGGTAAACATATTTTTATACTTAAAAAAAATATATTATTAATAACACCTCCATTATTATTATTATCATCGTTATTAATATTTCCATTATTATAATAATCAAGAGATTTTCACTGCCTCTTCTTCTGACAAAACTTAAGTTGGAGGTACAACAATCAGATGAATTATCAGAACAAATAGCAAATTCGTTTTTAGACGGAGAGATAGAATATGATCATTTTGTTAAGCATTTTAGAGAAGTAAGAAAAGTGTATCATCTTAGAAATGCCAAGGTTGAAAGAATTGCTTTGAATCCTAGTATTTTAGGAACACATTTTTAAAAAATTATTGGTTTAGACATATAGACAAATTTAATATTATTTTGTCCAAAAATTTTATTATAAAACGCTAATTGATTTATTATTATTTTTGGGGATTGATAAATAAGCTATTTGCATATTTGATTTTAATGCATTATATCACCATGTATAACAGGTAATGAGGCTGATAACCCACTACAAATGGTTATAGCTTGTCCATTAATATAAGAACTTTAATCACTTTCTAACAAAAGCACAACATTTGTAATCTAGATATGGATATCTGTTTATATTGGTTGATAAGTATTAAGTAACAAAATGATTGATTGATGGATGGATAAATAGATAATACCTCTTCAGAATGACCATATCTTCATAGAGGGAACTTTGTTGATTGTACCTTGTTCACAAGCAAGCAACAAATAGTGGTTTTGCCATATTTGTTTCAATTAAACCCTATAAAGTGATTAATTTTTTTTAACCAACATAAAAATTGAGGCTATGTACTGGACATATTAGAAATAACACACATATTTGTACCAGCTAATTGCCATGCCCCTGTATGAGTTAAATTGATTACACTGTTAATTAATTAAATTTATTATTAAAAATTAAAAATGTTCCTTGTGGAGTTTTTGTATATATACACTAAAAGTAATTAATTACACTGCTTTTGAAACTGAGTAATCCATTGGATCAGCATCAAATCTTAATCCAGCAACTAAAAAAAATTTTAAATAGCATGTGAGCTGAGTAATTTATTGAGCTATTAAAGTTGCCTTCTCTATTAACCAACTAAAGTTGGTGTCTGTAACTGTTTTCTCACTTTCTGCAACTGCAGATTTTAAAGCTCAAGTTGCAACTTTTTCTGCAACCCCTGAAACTGTCTGCAACTATAATTATGATGACTTAGTATTAAAAATGAAATCACATAATTACAAAAATGGGATTTATTTGTTTTTAAATAAGATCATTACTACTACTTAGGGTCTCTATTCAAATAAGGTTTATTCAAATTATTCATTTTATTTGTTATAAATTTGAGTATTCAAATTATATTAAAGGTATATTCAAATAAAAATTTATTGAATAAAACCAATAATTTGAATAATTTTTTTAATTCAAATAAAACTAGCAATTCAAATAAAATTAATGATTCAAATTACTATAAATTATCGTAGTATGGTGCCGATCATCTAAAGACATCAAAATTTCAGCTAAACTTTA